ATGTTAAATAATATGTGTAAATATTAAATCCTAAAGCTGTAAATCTAAATACAAAATTTAAATCATAAATTTTGTAGCTACATTTTAAGTATTTTGGAATTGAACACATCCTTTGCCATTGGTTCTTGGTTCTTGTTATGACATCATCACCCTGTGACTAAAACAACCACTAACGCTGCTAAGGCTTCCCTATAAGACATTAAACTTGCAGTTGTGGCCAGTGGCCAAGCTGCACTTAAAATAACAGGACCACAGGTATCATCAATATTGTTTTCAATGAACACATTTTGAATTTAAATTTTAAACATCATCTTCAGCGTTGTTTGCTGCGTTATCAGCGTTTGCATTGCTAGCAGTTGCTTTTGTTGCAGGTGCATCCTAACAAGAGTTGTGCACCAACAGCAAAGGCTGCATTCCATTCTGAAATTCTTCAATGTAAACTTCAACATTTAAGATTTAACTTTTACATTAAGATTTACACATTTAGATTTAGGATTTAATATTTACATACACTTTTTAACATTTAAATCTACATTTTGTAGACATTTGCTAAATGTAAGAACAGTGAGGTAAGTAATAAAATGTTAGTGGAACATTTTAAACTGGGATTTTACACTCAGAAAGTGAGCTAATAAGGAAAAATGTGTTAGGGATTTTTTTTCCACCTTTTTTCTACACTTGGTGCCCCATATATTGCTGCATTTTGTTGTTATTTACATGAAATCCAATCTTTTGCAGAATTGGAGTTGTAGAAAGTGTCTAATTATTGTTTGTCTCATTCCTCTTATACAGGAAGGAGCTAATGTGAGTTCAACCACCTTCCAACTATTTTTTAACCTTAATCTGCTCTCCTGCCGTGCCTGCAGTCCTCTCAACGTGCCCTCCATCTGCTCAAACTAAGTGTTCAGAGGGGGCCTGTCTGCACACCGACAGTCAGGTAATTGTTAATGAGTCATGTTCCACATTTCTATCATGCTCAGTCAGCTACGTCACTAACTTTAAATGAGCTCAGAGTTCTTGAAGAATGGTAAGCTCAACTCAAACATCAGGATCAGATTCACTTTGTGGTGATGTCACACTGTTCTTTATTCTTAGTTTTTATAGTGTTTTCTATGTTGCACCATCATATTGTCACCTCACAGTGGTGCTACAGCTCCACAACTGAGCGCATAACAATCCTCTGTTTTTATTTTTGTAGGCAGTGTAATTCAGCAAGCCTGCCAAAGTTAAACTAACACTAAGGTGCCTAATGTGGCCATGCTTTGAGTGTTAAATGATGTCTTTCAGATTGTTATTTACCTCCAAAATAATAAAAAATTATAATCATTAGAAACATGAGAAACTTGTGAAATAGATGGCTATCACAACAAACCAAACTGAGATGATGGATGGATTGATTGATTGATTGATTGAACAGACTCATGGTCCACATTGACATGAAAAAGACAAAAACATGATACACGATAACAAAAATAAAACTTATAAAAGACTTGCGTAACAGTATTTCAACTAAAATGACTGGTAGCATGATGCACTCACAGAAGGATTTAACATTAATCAATGTTATGACATCAATTAACTGATTAAAACAGGAATTTCAAGCATRAGATGATTTAATTTAACTCTAGAAAAAGCAGAAAAGTAAAGACAATCTTATCACCAGTAATCTCACAGGCTCAACTGTTTTATGCCTTAAAGGGTGGGTGTTCTGCATAAGTGACTTTTTTGAGCTTTATATCCTGTTATAATGTCATTCATTAGTCATCGAAAACCTACCAGGAGTGTTTCTTTGACTCATTCATGCATGAAATCCTTGATACTGCTGTGGTAGCCATGTGGAGCTGCCTAAACTCTTGCTGATTCAAAGCCCCGCATTTTTGTRCATAGCTCCTCCCTGCTTGGAGCTCAGTCTGCAGCTGAGCTCCCACCCTACAGAGCAGGGGTGGGCAATCCTGGTCCTCGAGGGCCTGCAGGTTTTATGTTTTTCCCTGCTCCAACACACCTGATTCAGACATTGAATTACCAGGTTCTGCAGTATGGAGGACTGACACTGACATAACTAGGGCTGCCATGATTAGTCGATTAATCGACGACTAATCGATTATTAAAATAATCGATGACTAATTTAATAATTGATTAATCTTTTTTTTGTTCTTTACTTTGTTTTTCTCTCCAAACTGCTTTGACACCTTCCACTGCCACATCTGCC